TGTGTGTGTGTGTGTGTGTGTGTGTGTGTGTGTGTGTGTGTGTGTATGTGTGTGTGCGTGCGTGCGTGCGTGCGTGCGTGTATGTAAGTATGTATGTATGTATGTATGTATGTATGTATGTATGTATGTACGTATGTATGTATGTATGTATGTATGTATGTACGTATGTATGTATGTATGTATGTATGTATGTATGTGAGTATGTATGTATGTATGTACAATGAGTACTTTATGTTTTGTACTTTGTTTGTCTAGCCCAGGTTCGATCTTCCTTCGAGTTCGTTGTTGTTCTCAATGCCACAGACGATTGAGTCTACTAATTTATAATAATGCCAGAATTATAGGATCATCGGAACACAAAGTATGTGTCGGGATGTTATGTATATCTTATCTTATCCGTGCTTGCATAGGGGAATTAATGTTGTTATTCCAGAGCTTCCTAGCATGAACCGCTCAACAACACAATGACACGTTCACACTATGCATCACACCTTTGATTCTCTCTCTGGACCCTTTTTCGTCTCTCATTTGCCGGCATTATACACATCCAAGTATTCGAACACGTGAGGTCTCGAACTACACGCATAAAAGTTTGTCACACTCACAGCACTCTTGCCGTTATATTTGTGCACATACAGACGATAAACAATTCCGTTGCCGTCGATAGTAGTGCCTACAGCGCTGTCAAAGCGGGCGAGTGGTCTCAACAGATCTCGGAGGGCGTCGTAGGCAAAATCACAGGCTACTTGGGTTATAAATATATCGGTAAGGAAGTTTGACTACTGTGGTCTACTTGGGGGGTTAGGTGTGTGGAGTGAGATTTTAGCAATATACATCTGTAATCCGACCGCTGGGTTTACCTGAGCATATGATTTTATCTGTTGGGATATGAATGCATCTGATGATATGCCATCCGCTTCGAAGTATCATGGCTTACGACGCGAGGACGTTGTTGTATTCATGTTCACCGGAAGACATGGTGTACGACTGTCTTAGGTTGATAAGTTTGGTTTTTTGTATTAGAGGGCCCATTATCAGCGTCAGAACTAAAGTATGTATTCGATTTTGTCATCGTATGTATTAAATGGCTTCCTTCAGCAAGGTGCATATGTAGCAAATCATGTGTACATGATGTGATTTTATGGTGGCTCGATACAATCAAAATGAACGGTCAAGCTCGCATGTCGCCTTCCTAAAGTTGTCAGCTGCACTGATATACCTTTCTGGGCACATGACGCGCACCCGTGTGCATGCAGCACGTAAACCTACGTACTCTCACACGCATCCATTTCTTCGCATCCTGGTCGCAGCGGACACGCTTATCATGCAGAAAGGGACTGGTATGGAGAGGTCGCACACGTGCTTCTGGGACGACAGCAGGGACGGTACGTATGTATACTTGTACATTACACCGGATAATCGTTCTGTGTGTATGTATACTTGTACATTACACCAGATAATCGTTCTGTGTGTATGTTTGCCTGTACATTACACCGGATAATCGTTCTGTATGTATGTATGCCTGTACATTACACCGGATAATCGTTCTGTGTGTATGTATACTTGTACATTACACCGGATAATCGTTCTGTGTGTATGTTTGCCTGTACATTACACCGGATAATCGTTCTGTGTGTATGTATGCCTGTACATTACACCGGATAATCGTTCTGTGTGTATGTATACTTGTACATTACACCGGATAAGTGTCCTACATACCGCAGTCTCTTTATGTGGCAGTTGTACAGGCTTATAGCGTCGGGATTTTGTATACCACATTGGGGTTGCATTTCACATATGTCATTGGTATACGTTTATGTAGGTTACATCATTCTATGCTAGGGATATGAAGTCGATCGCGCTTTGTTAACCAACGTTTGCATTCACGTCAACAGGGTGTGTAACTATTCGCTGGGAGAACAATCGCATTGTATGCATTGTCAAGGTCTTCTCCATCTCCACCACGTGAGAGGTGCGGCACTCGTAGATCAATAATTAATGTACCGAACTATAGTCACAGTCCACATCAGAAAGGGTAGAAGAATGGATTCTTCGTTGCTAAACGCGAGTCTAAATCCGTGGGCATGTGTAGATAGTTCAAACGACTTATGGTTTATCTGTCACAGTCGCACCTTGTGTGGTGCAGAATACCAGCAAATGAAGCCATAATAAATCATAAAAGCCTGACCGATCATATTGTATTACCATTGTGGATCATCTAGCACACACCACTATCCATCTCAAACTATATTGAACCACTAATCAGCTCAAAGTATATTGAGTTCTGTTTTATTGTTTTGAGCATTTCTGTCACATAACGATGTGATTGACTGACAATGTACAACCCATACGTCCTCGCACACCCGAGTGTGTGTAGCGTATGGCCATTCACTCGGTACTACGAGCATTCATTCACCCAGGAGTCATCCGACGTTCCTGCTGCAAATCGGCATCGGGCGGGGCTAGCCAAACAAAGTAAACGTTAACCCACCCTACTTGTACATCGTTTGTCTTGCACGGAACAAAGTATACGTCCAGCCACCTGTACATCACTTGCCTTGCACGTATGTCTGTATCAAATGTCGGCCTTCTGTCAACCGGCACGCCGTGTTCTATCCAAAAGATAGTGAGCGGTTGTGAAATACAGTATCGTGTGTATCTGTGCGTCTGCGTATGCGGTTCATAGATTCTTCTCGTGTTCCGCGTCCCCGTTTCATTCCTTGTTTCGATTCGAGGCAGCGTCTGTATCTCTGCGGCTGGTTGCCTATCGGACTCACCCAACAGGCATAGCACATCTACACACCGACCGCTTGCCCTACGATCGCCAGCGGCACAAACACTGTACCCCACGCTCCACCCCCCATCCATCCCCATTACCCATACTCCTTTACCGTGCCCAGCCTTGCTTCGTCTGTCGCAGCCTTGGCTCGCACGGTATGCTGTGCGAGGGTCTTAGTTGATCACCGCATTGCTAAAGTCCATCTGCGGGTTGGCCGCCATGAACTTCTTCATCATGTCCTGTTTCTTCTGCTCATCCGACGACGGCAGCCCCATCTCCTTCTGCCGCTGGTCGTACATCATCTTCTCCACCATGCCGCGGGTGGAGCCGTCTAGATCGTCGAGGTTAGAGTTCTGTGGTTCGACTGTCTTGGTGTCGATCTCCTCCTCGCCCTGGCACGCACGGCTCCACCAGCACATGCCCTTCGACTGTGGCGCCGATAGTTAGAGGAAGTGAATGAAGACATATATGATTTGATGCATTGATGTGTCCATGTAGAATATACTTGTGATGTGAAACAGCGCATTCATAATCGTAGTAAGGTTACGTCCCAGACTACAGAATGTCTAGCTAGCTACGAATTTCAAATGTGCTCAAGTATCCAACATATAGCGCCATACGCGGGCAAATAAGTACAGCGGCTCACTAAATATATATGTATATATATATATATGCACTCTCACGGTATCAGGTCATGGTAGCATAATGCGCCAGACTATCGGTATAAACTCTGGGGGTACTGATTGAGTCTGCTATAATAATAATAGCGAAGAGCATATATAGTATGTAGAATTATTCCATCCAAACTGCACAATGTCACTATACTCGTCGGGTATGGCTGGCCGCAGAGACTGATAGAGGTGAACAAAGATATGTGCTTGGAGTTATAGTGCACGGGCTTAAAATGGTGTAGAACGTGACCTATGGTAACCACGATGATCACTGCACCGTGCGAATCAAAAAGCCGCCGGTGAACACGCAAACTCAATTCGTGTACGATGCGGAAGTAACCTGACAGCGAGTGACGCCAGTGACATACATTGTGATGTGGATTCGGATCAGTGAATATCTGTACATATGCATGTAGATTGATGCGTGTGTGCCCGCAATACTTCATATTTATAGATAGCACACATAAGTCCTATTTATAGATATCACACATAAGTGAGAGACCTGTACCCTCTTGGGTCGGTATGTAATGACTGAAAGAACATTTTGAAAGAACGAAATCAATGAAGACACTACATCTGATGTCATGGCTATACTCTATAAAATTCCAAAACACTATGCAATGCCTAACTACTAGAGAGGTACATGTTATCGTAATGCCATATTGTGTTCGTGTGAATACAATATGTCTATAAGAGCAAATTCAAGGATCCGTGGCGCACAGGAACAGACATCTAGTACAATTCGGTGGCAAACAGAGGCACAGGTACACAGGAGCGTTGTGAGGTAAACGTATGCACATCTGAGATACAGGTACAATTGCATTTCAGCAAAAACGTATTAGTCCGAAGTATTGGCATGTAAAGCCTTCATATGAAAGTACTGATATTGGGTCACGTGCACATACAACACATCAAACCCCACCTTGTGTTCGTATATACGACCGTATTCTTTCCAAAACTATGGTCCATAACTACCCAGTACATGCATACCTATACAAATACTTGTCATAACTTCACGCAAATCCTTGCCCATACACACCTTTTGTAGCGTCAGGACGATCACCGACTTATCCTCAATAGTCCACAGTGAATCGTCAATCTTAATCAACGCCTCCAAGTCCGCGTCTAGATGTGGATACTGGCCCTTCAGACCCACCTTGATATGACCTTTGTCTATACGTACAACCACGTCTCTACTTTTCACCACCACATCCTTCCCCACAGGCAATGGGACGCGCATCTCTACTTCGTCGAGTGTCTGTGTCCACGTGTACTTGTCTGTGGAGCCTCCGTTACCCTCGTTCGCCTTTCGTTTACCGTCCTCACTCAACTCCTCGGCCTTTCCTGTGCTTTCGTCTGCAGCGCTACTCGATGTAGTAGTAGTCACATACTCATCCATGCGCACGCGATCACTCCTATCTCGAACTGCTGCACTGTGCTCGCCCAATACTCCACCATCATAGTCATCCTCATCGCTCAGCTCCAGAACCTTAGCACCGTTGTCTGCCTCTGCATGTACAGCCGAGACACTGCTGCCTGCTTTCGGCTTTACATCAGCCTTAGACTGTGACCGTGTACTACTGCCGGCGTTTTGCGATCGGCTCGTCTCACTCGCCCCCTTCGCTGTGGTACTACTTGCCCCGTGCTTCCTATCAGAGACCGCCTTCTGTTGCTTGACCACTTTCCTCAGCGCTGCGTATATATCCTCTTCACTGGCCGCGGTGAAGAAGTCAGTCTTTCGCTCCAGAAATGAGAAGAACGTTGTCAGCAGTGCATCTATGCCGTTGTGCTGCTGCGCAATGGAAAGCAACAGCGCGTCAAAACGTTCGTCAGCCATATTCCTAAGTTCAGGTTCTACCTGTATATATATATATATATATATATGTGTGTGTATGTGTATGTGTGTGCGTATGTGTGTGTGTGTGTGTGTGTGTGCGTACACGCGTGTGTGTGTGTGTGTGTGTGTGTACCGTGTGTGTGTGTGTGTGTGTGTGTGTGTGTGTGT